GTGTCTGTGTGGACTCGCTGCGCTGCACTCACCGCACTCGTTGTGTCGCTCGCAGAAGGCGCGAATCTCACCCAACACCGACAACTGAAACATCACGCCACACACATCCATCCATCCATCCGTTGTGTGCACCTGTTGGCCGTCGTCGAGCGCATCGACCGGCGCCATCGCAGCGTCGTCGTCTAAGTGACACACACACATTTATCCAATGACACACGTGGGTGTGGTGTGCGCCAGATCTCTCTCTGTCTCGTCTGTCTGGCACACCTGCGGCCGGCTGCTGCTGTCCGTGGTCATTGGCCTCCTCGTGCTGCCCCTGCTGGTCGTTGTGGTCGCCATGGATGTCGCCATGGTGGCTGGCGTGTGGGTGCGGCTGCTGGATGGCGTGGATGCCGTCGTCACACGCCGTCTTGACCTTGAGTGTCATCTGGTGGTGCTGTGTGTCGATGCCGCCACAGGCGCACTCGAGCGGAATCTCGTTGTAGTGAGCCGACGGGTTCGATGGGTCGGTGGGGATGAAAGGCCTGAAGTGCTTCGGCTCGTAAGTGGCAGACATCCGCTCGTCGTAGTACCTGCAGTCAGAGCAGCCAACATGCCATGCCAGGGAAACAGACAGACAGTGAGGCGGATGGGCAGTGGCCATTCAGTCTGTCAGCTGCTTACATCATCTTCATGGTCAGATAGCGGTCATCTGCACACACACACACACACACAGAGAGAGAGAGAGAGAGAGACAGGGATGATGAGCATCTGTCTCATCTTGTGTGTGTGTGGATGGGCCTGGCCTGCCTGGCAGCGGGCTGAGCTCCTCTAAAGACACACAGGCACACAGACAGACAGACAGACAGACAGACAGAGGGGATGGATGTCGGTGTGTGTGGTGCCTGTGCTGAGTGGCTGCCTTGACTGACTTACGTGTGAGGAAGATGAGGTTCTGGAGCATCGATGTGGTCTGTTTCTTGGCCTCCTCCTTGGACACTCCCCCACTGTGTGCCCCCGTCGCCTGGTGCCTCACCACACTCGCACTCGCACTCGGCTGTGCCTGTGGGTGGCCGTTGTCGCGCTCCACGTCCACACTCACACCGTTGTCGTACGCAAACTGCACAAACAACACACAGAGAGAGATGGGCGTGGTGTGGTTTGGTGAGTGTCTCTCTGTGTGTGTGTCTGTGTGCCTTGAAGTGGTAGGACTCGAGCAGCGCGTCCGTCAACGAGTCATGGATGCCGAAGATCAACATACTGATTGCACCGCCACATCCATCCATCCATCCACAAGACACAGCACAAGACACACACACGAGTGCATCCCTCCCTCCCTGCCTGTGTGTGTGGCTGACCGGAGGCACTTCTTGTCGATGGCGTCGAACACACCATCCTCGAGCCACGCGTGCAGCTTCGCCGCCTCGCTGTGCTCGTCCTTGGGCCGCAAAATCTTCAACGGCAACTCACCTGCACAACACAGACAACACGCAGCCACAACACAAACAGAGAGAGACATGCACTTGTGTCGCCTCTCTCACTGATGGTCTTCTCCTCGAAGCAGTCCTCGGGGAAGAGATTGCGAATGTAGGCGATGCTCGAGAGGCTCGTGCGGAGGGCATTGCGGATCACTGAAAGAAAGATATTAGACAACACAGGTACAGGCGGGAGTGACCACGTGTGCGTGGCCGGGTGATTGTGTGATCGTGTGGTGGGTGATTGTGTGCCGACTGCATAGCGATTGCGTGCCGCTGATGGTGGCGGACGTCTGCTGGGTGGCCTGGGCCGGGCGGACCGCCTGAGCCGTTGCCATTCTCACTCACTCACTCACTCACGTTGTCAATGCGACGCGACAAGAGGAGAAAGCCAATCAATCAATCAATCACTGATCACTGATCACTGAATGAATGAATGAATCGGTGCTGAGAGAGACACACAGACACTGCTGTCGCTCTTTTTGCAAAATCGATCGAATTAATGCGTTAGAGACATTGACGTAATACAGTACGTATGCGATTCATCTAACGAATTCCCGATCGATCGTCCGTTGGTTCACTTTCCTCCGTGTTGTGTCTGTCTGTCTGTCTGTCTGTCGCTGTTCGTCACTTGTCTGTCTGTCAGTCCATGGACGCTGGCCACTGGGTCTCTGTCTGTCTGTCGGGCACTCCTTCGAAGGCTCACGTGTCGAGCTGGCTCTTGGGTGAGAAGAGGTGCAGCAGAAACAGGCAGTAGAGGTGGAGGAAAGCGACGTACACATAAAACACCAGCCGGATGGGCGGACTCACGAACAACAGACGCGTGAACGACCTGCACTCACACACCCCCATGCGCACCGACGACATCACATGCACAGCATACCACTCACGCGCTGTGGCAGCCACACGCACCTGAGAGGCTGGTCCACCTTGTGGACGAACTTCATGACCGTCTCGGCCTCCTCCCCCTCTGGTGCCGCGCCAGCCCCGGCCGTGCCCCGCGCCCGGATGTTCTCACCTGCACCACACACATAGACGTTCACACAGGTGTGTGGCTGTGAGGGGGTTGTGTGGATGATGCCCACCTCTTTCCATATCTGAGTCGGCGGCCATGTCCTGCCGAAGCTGCTGCAGCTCATACCTCTGGGTCGTCCGCTCACACACCAGAGTCTGCACACCGCAACACGCCTTGCAATGATGCTCACATCTCCCTCCCACCCTCCCCACGCACCTCTATTCGCTTGTCCTTCTCGTCGATGCGTCGCTTCAAGTAGTTGATCTCCTCCCTGTACCGCCTCTCCGCCTCCTCCATGACCTGGGAGGGCACCTGGGCCGCGTGTGGTTGGCGCTGGGCTGTGTCCGCCGTGGTCTGCTCGGAGAGCCGCCTGACGCGCTCCTGGAGCTTGGCGTTGTCATCCTTGAGGTGGGCCACTTCCTGCCGATACATGTCGTTCTCCTTTTTGAAAAGGTCGCTGATGTAGCGCGCCTCGGACAGCTCCTGCTCTGTTGTCCTGACAAAACAAACGCACCAGTGCATGCAATGCCCACACAGAGAGAGAGATGGACACACTGTGCTCTGTCTGTGTTGGGGTGCGGGTCGGGTGGAGTGGGTGGGTGGCTGACTTGACTTACTTGAGTCGGTCTTGGAGTGAGAGCAGCTGCCGGTGTGAGCTGTCTTGTTCGCTGACCGACTGTTTCCTGCTGCTGGCCATGTCGTCGAACCGGCGCTGGACGGCTGTCAACTCACCCCCAATCTGACACCCACCCACCATGCAGGAAGCACGCAGGCAGACAGAAAGAAATCGGTGCAATGCGGTGCGGTTCTCAGCTTCTCAGCCAGACCACACCGACCTCTCCGTATGCCTGCTGGAGGTCGTCGAATTGCGCCTGCAGCTCAGCGCATCTGTCGAGGGCGGCCTGTTTCTCCTGCTCTTGTTTGCTGAGGTCGGCGCGGAGGCTGGCCTCCGTCTCGACCACGTCGGACTGCAGCTGGTCGAAGCTGGAGAGATGCTGCCGCAGATGCTCCAGCTCCACCCGATGCCGCTCGCGGTAACGCTCCATCTCGGCGCTGTGTTCGCTCTCACTCTGACCACCGCCACCACAACACAATACACAACACACAACACACAACACACATGGCGGGGATGCGTGTGCGTGTGCGTGGGGTGTGCGGCACGAACCTGTTCGTATGCCTGCTGCTTCTCCTGGATAAGCCCTTGGAGGCTGTCTACCTCTCGTCGTGACATCAACAGGTCCGCCTGCAAAGACTTGACCTGACACCAGACCAGAGATCAGACACACAATCCGGCAACCAACCAAGCCCGTCGAGCATACTGCATGTGCACGGACGTCCGTACCTGGTTGTTGGCCTGGTTGAGCTCCTTCCTGTACTGGTCGATCTGTCCGTCCTTGCCCATTAGCAGCGAGTGCAGCTCCTGCTCGATCTCTGTCTTGACCTGCTCGGTCTCCGCCTCGTGCACCGCCTGCAGTCCATCCATCCATCCATCCAAGTGGAAGGCCACATCTGTTCTCCCCCCATCTGACCTGTGTCTCCTTCTTGAACTCGAGCATCTCCTTCTCGGCCTGCTTGCGCTGCGCTCGACACGACTCCTCTGCCGCCTCGGCACGCTGAACCGCCGACGCGAGTTGCTGACGGACGGCGTCCATCTCACCCCTGCACACACACACACACACACACAACACACGTGCGGATGGTTGGCTCATGCGTGTGTGGGTCCGTGTGGTTGGCTTGGGGCCTTTGTCGTACGTGAGCTGCTGGTTGCCATTCTTCTCTTGCTGCCAGAGGCGTCGCAACTCGGCGTTGTCCTCTGAGGTCGTGTTGAGCTCACGGTAGGCCTCCTGCACGACACACGACACACACAGACACATGCCAAGATAATGATGGCATTGCAATGTTATGGGAATACCTGGAGCTTGGCCTCCATGGCACTCTGGTTGTCGCCCATTTGGTCCCTCTGCCGCAATGCCTCCTCAGATTGGTGTGTGAGCTCCTCGATGCGCCTCTGGTGGGCGTCGAGGCCCTCCTGCAGCGACATGGCCTTCGCCTGAGCAGCGGCCAGCTTGGCCGAGCCAGCGGCCACCTCTCCGTCGAGCTGTGACTGGATTTCCTGCACGCGAGAGGCATGCTCGGCGGTGAGAGAATCCTGGGCCGCCTGCCAACGAGATAAAGACACAGAGAAACATCGAGCGGTGTGTTTGGTGTGTTTGGAGTCTCTTCTCTCTCTCTCTCTCTCTCTCTCTCTCCCAACCAACCGCCCATCCACCGACCTGCATGGCCTGCATGTCCGACGCAGACTTGGCCTCCAGGTCGGCAAGCTGCTTGGCCAGCGTCTCGTTGAGCGCCTCCTTGTCGTGTTTCTCCGCCTGCAGCCGCTCTATCTGCTGCTGGTAGCTGCAGTTCTCCCGCCTGAGGCCCTCCAGCAGCCGCCACAGCTGTCGCACGTCCGCCCCCTCCTTGCCAGGCGACGATGGCGCATCGGCGGGTGCGCGAGGGTGGTCTTCGGATGTCTGTGTCTCCATAGCAACCTGACACACATACACACACTCACAAGTGGACTGACGGATGGTCAATGAGAGGAGTGAGGCCTCACCCTGGCGGATGGCGAGGTCAGCACGGCGGCGTCCGTGCCCACAAAAGCAGATGTAGCAGTTGGTGGAGGGAGGGAGGTCTCGGCCGTGGTCGACGCGCTCGGCTGGGCCGGCTCATCCGGACGGATCAATGCATCGGGTGAATGCTCCTGCTGCTCCTGCTGCTCCTGCTGCTGCTGATGCTGCTGATGCTGCTTCTGCTGATGCTGCTGCTCGCGCGGCTCCTCGAGTGCTGGTAATGGCTCGTCTGGCACACCCTCTGCCAATGGGGTGAGAGATGCAGCCTGGTGCTGCTGCTGCTGGAGCTGGGGCTCGGTCGACTCCACTGCATCTATTGGCAGCTGAACATTGGCCGACTCGACAGCTCTCGGTGACAGCCCGCCGCTCTCACCCACGTCGATCAGCGGTGCCTCATCGTGGCTGGGCAGCAGCTGCTCCGCACCCTCATCGCCGGCTTGCGGTGTTGCGAGGTCATCAATCGACAGGTCCTCCACCCCCCATCCTTCAGAAGCCGCCTGCAATGCCCGCGGCGAGTCCTCCATGGCACTCCTCGCACTGAGCTCTCGCTCTTGTGTGGTCGTCTCGGGGGCTGGTGGGGATAGGCCATCGGTGTCGCGAGAGACCACCTCAGGCGACAGCGGGGGCGAGGGCAAGGGCGGCTGGCCGTGGCCTTCAGGTGCCGACTCGCTGGACAGCGGCAATGGCACGTCCATATCCACGTCAGCCATCATCTCTGTGGGAGGCTGGAGCTTCACGACCGTCCGTGTGATGTGGCTGCCGTCTGCACATGAAGACGAGCTGTTCATGTCCTCCCCTGCGTCAGCGGGTGGCGTCGAGTCCAGCGCAGCAGAGGCCGGTGCAGAGTGGGCCGCCGCGTTGAGGGCGTTGAGGCTGACAGGCGTGGGCGACACACACGGGGATGCGATCCTGTGGGCCTCGTCGCTCTCGTTGCTGTTGGTGGCTTCGATCTCCTCACTGTTCTCCGTCGTCACGGAGGGGGAGGGCAGCGCTGCAGCCGGCTCGTGTGGTGGGGAGGCGTGTGGCGGCTGGCGAGAGCGGTCGGTGTCCTGGCTGCCCAGCGGGCCGCCCGCCTCGCTCGACACTTCCCGGGAAGACTCGGTGAAGACCTGCGATGATGGGAGGGGCGGGGAGGAGGTGCCGAAACGGGGAGAGGCGGCTGATGGACCAGCAGGCATCACCTAAGTGAATTGATGAAGGCACACTGTCGATCGAGATGGTGTACCATCAGTGTGTCTATCGGTTCTTTCCCACCTCACTCACCACGGCAGCAGGCTGCCTCTGCGGTCCGTCGCTGGCCGGCAGCGCCCTGTCGCCCTCACCCAGCCCGTTCTCCACACCTCCTCCCCCCTCCACAGCCACAGGAGCAGCCACAATCTCGCCACCGCCACCGCCACCACCATCGGCACCACTGCCCGCATCGATCGCCTCAGTCGAGTGCCGCATCACCGGGCTGGTCGTCGCCCTCTCCCGCTTCTCACACGGCGACGAGCGGTTGGATCCCGTTTTGCCCACGAGGAGGAAACTCCCGGACATGGCCCCTCCCTCAGACGGGAGCAGAGAGAACGCCGATGACGGATGCGACGATGAAGACGAGACATTCGAGTGGGACGGCGACAGCCTCTGTGCCGCAGCGACGGTGGGGGCGGGCAGTGAGGGTGGTGCCGACTCCACTGGTCGGACTGATGGCTCTGGGGCGGCAGATGCGGCCAGTGGTGGTTTGCCGCTCTCAACAGCGGAAACAGGGCGGTCCACACGAACAGGCTGGTCCGGGCGAGACGCTTGTGGCGGCAGCGGCAGGCGAGGCCGCTTCGGTGCCTCCTTGCCCGTGTCCGCCAACCCAAACGACTCAAAGAAATCCACCTGCTGCTTCATCCCAGCACCAGGTTGTTGAGTGCCGCCATCTTTGCCGGGGTGGGTGGATGGGGCCGTGGGTGATGGGGAGGTCTTGGCGCCCTTCTTTGTCATGGGGGTGGCCGATGCCGACTGCGGCGAGTCAGTGGTCATGAGCTCGGAGTGCAGGTGCGCGACGGCTCCCTTGAAGAAGCTCACGGCTGACGTCATGCCCTCGCCGGCACGGGATGAGGCACCCGCAAACAGGTCACTCACGCCTAACAGACAGACAGGCAGGCAGGCAGACAGAGAGATCGACACTCGCAGGCAGGCAGCACTGAGATGGCTACTGGTAGTACCGGCTTTGAGTGCCGCTGCAGATCGTGCTCCACTGGTCGGCTGCTGCTGCTGCTGCTGAGTAGTGCCCCAGCCCGGCGCAACACCGCTGCGCGGCGAATCCTCCGGGACGTCGTCATCGTCTGCAACACACAGACCAGCGGGTGGGCAGATACACAAGTGCCGAGACTTCCTGGATGTCAGCACACCTTTGTGACGTGTTTCCCTATCCAGCAAGGAGCCGTCGTCCACTTTGTCCAACAACGTCTCGATCGACTTCAGGAAGTGCATACCGCACCGTGCTGTATGGAGTCAGATTCAACAACACTGACGGCAGAGATCCTTCCCTCCCTGGCCCTAGGGTTTGGGTTGCAAGGTATGCCAACTTGCCCCCGCAGAACAGGAAGGAGAAGTGCGGTGACTGGAAAAGCATGCCATTTGCTGTGTAGCTTGCTATTGGGACGCTACACAGCAACCTCGTGTTGCTGCTGGCTCCAAGCAGAGGCTCTGCGATATTACCGCCATCCGTGTGTGACAGACGATGAACGCCAACCGCCACACGCAGGGCAACCGCTCGCTGACCAGCCGGGCGCAGTCCATCGCGCGCATCCTGCGGGAGCAGCGCGAGATGGCGTCGCACCCGAGCAGCCACTGGTACGCGGCGCCCATCGACCTGGACGACCCCTACGAGTGGCACTTCACACTCAAGGGGCCGGATGACACCGACTTCCAGGGCGGCATGTACCACGGCAGGATACTGCTGCCGCAGGTGCGTGTAACAAGACAGCAGAGTGCGTCGTTGGTTCACTCACTGTTTCTGGTCTGCTTCTTGTCGTGTCTGTCTTGTGCTGTGGTGATGTCGCGTCGTCAGGACTACCCGTTTTCGCCTCCGTCGCTGTATCTGCTGACGCCCAATGGCCGGTTTGAGGTGGGCAAGAAGATCTGCCTCTCGGCCTCGTCGTACCACCCGGTCGGTAGACGAACACACACACACACACACGCACACACACACACACACATCGATGGGCGGCCGCCGGATAAATGGATGGGTGGATGTGCACAGACAGATCCACACGAGAGCAGACGGATGCATTCCTGTGTGTATGTTGTGTGGTGTGTGTTTAGGAGTTGTGGCAGCCGGCCTGGGGCATCCGTACCATTCTCGAGGCGCTGAGGGCCTTCTTCCCCACACCGGGGGATGGCGCCATCCGGTCACTGGACTGGGACCCCCACATCAGGCGAAAAATCGCCAAGGAATCGGGTGAGCGGAGGATAGACGCACACGGCCCTAGAGCTGCGTGTGGATGTTTGTGTGTGGATATGATGTGTGTGCAGGTGGGTGGGTTTGCCCGGTGTGCAAGAAGAGCAACCGCGAGATCATTGAGAGCAATTGCCCCGCACACGACACCGACACCGAGCGGCCGCCCGCACCGTGCCCCATCAAATTCTCTCACGAGCAGCAGCCAAACAACAAGAGCAACACCACAGCGGAAATGGCAAATGCCACCACCACCAGCACATTAACCGAGCCAGCAGCCACGGAAGCAGCAGCGGCACCAGGCCCCTCCCCTGCACTCTCCGCCTCCCCGGCACCACCCACTGGGCCGTCGAGTGGGGGCCACCGGGTGCGTCGGCGGCCGCCGTCGTTGCACCGGGGCCCTGTGGTGTGGCAGCTGATCAAGAGCTTCCGCGACAGTGTGCCGCGTACGCGGCTGGACCTGCTGGCGTGCGGGCTGGACTGCCTGATGCTGTTTCTGCTGGGGTGTGTGGTAGTGCTGCTGATAGAGCTCATGTGGAGCCCACCACTCGCACCCAAGATGGGCAGTGGCCAGAGTGGCGGGGCGGGGGCGGGGCTGGGCGCAATAGACGAGCTGTGATTGATGTGCCTGGTGGGTGGATGGGGCTGGTGGTGGGGGAGGTGGGGAGGTGACAGTGAGCCGAGTCAATGAATTAAGTGTGGGGTGTGGTGTGGGGGTGCGGTCGGTGTGAGAGAGTGGGGGCATGGATCTATTGCTCGGGTCGTCATGTGCAGAAGTGAGTGAGCGATGGACGTGCTGGTGTTCATTGCAATATGGGTCTCGTTCGTTCGTGTGCTATCGACTCTGGAAATTTGTCATGCCGCTGTCGGATCTTGTGCAGCAGCCGTTCATATGATATGCGGCTGTTGTACCATGGTCACCGGCGGCCGTACTGGTTTCCAGAGTCAAAGTGCTGGGCAACGAGCGGTCGATCGATCTCAAGAATGGCCGATGCAGCGACGACTTGTCTGCAGATCAGTTCTTCGTGTTTTGTTCTTTTGAGTGTTGCCTGCCGGTTTGGCCACACGTGACTGACGTGTGTGGGTGCGTTTGACATCGTGACGTGACGTAACGGTCGGTTCATTGTGCTGCGGCTGATGATCGACTTGTGTCCTCGTGTCTCGATACAGATGCACACACCACCTGCGGCCATGTGGAAGGGTGCTGGTTGGATGATGGTTTGATGGTCATGACGTTGCCGACTCGATCGGTCGACTCGTTGTGTGTAATGTACAAAACTCTTATTGACTCTACACACACGTAAGTACGCACACGCTATGCATGCCAGTGTTTGTCAACAGAAGTAGTGTCTGTCCGCACGCACACACACACGCACACACCGCGCGCACACATTCCGTCAGGGGCAGCCAGCGTAGAGACAGGCAGACAGGCAGGCACTTTGCCGCCTCTGCATCCATGGCATCCATCGGACAGACAGAAACGTGCATGCAGGCCGGAGAAGAAGGAAAACAATACAGCGTTATCCTAGCCATGAGAAAGAGATAGAGACGCACAACACCGCCCGAAAACATGCACCCAGCAAGCCAGCCGGTGACCCGATTGCTTTCTTATCCACCCACTCGTCTGTCTGTCTGATGTGTGGAAAATATGTACTGTGTGTATGTCTGTGTATCTGTCGGTTGGTACCCCCGTCAGTCCGTCCTATCGCAGCCTCCCTAGGGAGTCAGTGAGTGTCAGTAGCTAAGCTACTTAAGCAGCCCATCTCGTCCAGCCGTCGTGCCTGTCCTGTATAGCCAGCCAACCAACCTATACAGGCGAAAGCATCAACAAAACACCCCTGTATGTTATGATGTATTGTGTTATAAACGAGAAGGCACGCATCCTTACACACAAACACACGACATGCACACAAATGCCGCCTCCCCGTCCTTCCTACCCACTACACACATCAGTCATCTCTCTTGCCGCCGCCAAACAGTCCGCCCCTCGGAGGCCCAACCGCCTTGGCCACAGCCCGGGGCCGACCGCCGCGGCCCTCCCGCTCGCTCTCGGTGTCTTCGTCAGGCACCACCATCTCAGTGGGTGGCATGGGCAGCTCCTTGGCTTGAGAGCTGTTCACCTGGAGGGCTGAGGCGTCGGTCTCAGGCTGCTCGGCCTGGAGGCGGTCGACGAAGGCCTCGATCTCCGAAGCCGACGACATGGCGTTGGGACGAGCAGATGAGGATGAAGCGTCTTGGGTGGAAGTGGAAGAGGGCAGGGTGGTGTCGTCATTGCCAGACGAGGGGGCGGCGAGAGCAGTCACATCACCGTCAGCAGTATCACGCACACTCACAGCCGGACGGGCGGGGGGGGCCTCCTCTTCCGAGAGCCCGCTGCTCGACCGGTCCGGACGATCACTCTGAACGATCAATCACACATAACAAAAGACACACGAAGAGAGAGACCACACAGGCAATGAGACACGATGTGACAGCGTGGATATGCACGTGCAGTGTGTGTGTGGCTCCCCCCTCCCCCTCCGTCCGCTGCGTCTCATCTGCCTGACTAACACTGAACAGAGCAGAGCTACTAAAGTGTCGCGTGAGCGAGGCCACGAGAGAGGGACGGAGGGGAGGGGCGGCGGATGGGAGGGAGGGAGAGGAAGGGGTGTGGTGCCGTGCTCGTAGTACTAACATACTTTGGATCGGGACGGCGGGCCGCTGAACAGCTTGTGCTCTCTCTTCTGACGGCTCTCGCGCTTGCTGCTGCTGCTGCTGCTGCTGTCACTGTCGCTGAGCTGCTCGACGTCGGCATCGTCAGCATCAGCAGCCGCCGCCAGATCGTCCGCCCCCTCCTCGCCTCCGTCCCTCTCTCGTGAGGCCCTCTTCTCCTCCCTCATGCTGTCTCGCTCCTCCCGCCTCTCCTCCTTGACCCGCTCCCTGTCCTCGTGGATCTCGCTCAGCGACGGCTTCTCGCCGACGCCCAAGCTGCCCAACTCGGGCCTCTCTGGCCTGGCTGGTCTCTCTTTGACCTTCCTGTCTTTCTTCTCTCTGTCTGCCCGGGCGGGAGGGGGCGGGGGCAGCTTGGGCAAAAGGCCTCTCTTGTCAGTGTCGTGCTCACGTTGCAGCCGGCGGACGTCCTCGACAGCACCCTCCTCCATGAAGTACTCCTCACCAGTCGACTCCTCAGCCACGGGGTAGTACTCCTCCTCATCGATGCTCTGCGCCTCAGCCGGTGGATCAGCCTCCTCAGCAGTCTCAGCTTCGGGGAGTGTGCTGGCGACCTCCTCGCTGTCGGTAGGCTCCACCTCTGCCTCTGTGGCAGCAGGCGCCTCAGCGACCTCCTCCTCGACGGGCATGGGCGCGGCCTCTGCGGACTCGCTGTCAGCGGCTGCAGGGGCCGCCTCCACTGGCTCTTCAACAGGCGCAGACGCGGTTTCCCTGTCGCCCTCTGCCGGAGCGTACGCGGTCTCTGATGTGGGCGGGAGGTCCGTCTTCTTGGGCTCGGGCACGTGCTCTGTCTTCTTGGGCTCGGGCTCAGGCACCTTCTTGGGCTCAGGCTCGTAGTCCTTCTTGGGCTCGGGCTCAAGGAACTCGTGGTCGTAGCCCTTCTTGTCGTCAACCGGGTAGGTCTCCTTGCTCTTCTTGGAGCGGGCTTTCTGCACACACAAAGACACACAGACAGAAAGGAGAGAACGAGGGTGGGAGGACGGCTGTGTCTGTGTGTGTGTGTGTGCGCGTGTGTGTGTGCGCGTGTGTGTGGGTGTGGAGGTATGTAAGTAGGCTGGCTGTTAGAAAATACCAACGGCTACTAAGGGCTGGCTGACTGAGCAAAAGTTGCGTGAGTGAGTGACTGAGTGAGCTAGCTAAGTAAAACTAAATGGGTAGTACGGTAGGGTATGTAAGTAAGTCTGACTGACCTTGTAGGTCCTTATAGGCTTGATCTGGTATGTCGTGTGCGTCTCGCCCTCACTTCCTGGCTCGATCATGTACCCCTCTTTGCTATGCTTAGCAGTCTCTTCCTCGACATGCTTGTACTTCTTGCTAACCTCGCGTTCCTGCCGCTCATGGGCGCGGCGCTGGCGCCTCTCCTCGCGAGCGTGCTCCCGGGCGTGGTCCCGCTCCTCCTGCTTTGACTTCTTCTTGTCGTAGCCCTTGGACGGGTAAATCTCGTGCTCGGTCTTCTTGTCAAAGGTCGGCTCGTACTCGACGGGCTCAACGTAGTCCTTCTTGGGCTCAGGCTCGTAGTCCTTCTTGGGCTCAGGCTCAGGCTCCTTGGGAGGCGGCATCGGCTTCTTGGGGGTGGTGGGCGGCTTCTTGGTATCAGTGGGCGGGGGCTTAGTGGTGGTGGTGGTGGTGGGGCCCGCGTCCTCATCCTGCAGAGGGGCCGCCACAGCCTCAGGCTCGGCCTCCTCGACCTCCTCGGCCTCCGGGGTCTCTTCGGTCTCCTGCAGGCCGCGCTTGTTGATGTTGTTCATGTTGGCCAGGGCTGCGAGGGCGCCACCGAGGGCATCAGCCACGTCACGCTGAACAAGAAACACACACACACAGACAAGGGCAGAGGCAATGTAAGAGGCGACGTGAGGGCCAGAAATGCAGCCACACCATATGGTGTCCCCGTTCCATCTGTCTGCCCCTTCCCTTCCTGTCTGCCTGTCTACCATCGCCCCTTCCTCCATCTCCTGTGAGCTATCCTCCCTCGAAGAGGCAATTACCTCAGCCTGACACACCACCAAGCCACACACAGGAGAATGAGCCAATTGACACATCAAGTGAGTGCAGTGCGCGTGCGAGTGCCCGCCCGCCCACTAACCACTTTGACGTCGGCATTCACGACACCTGCACCAGACAGACAGACAAGACAGACAGAACCAACAAGCAACAAGCAACACGCGACAGCGGATGGACGAATGACGCAGCCGACTGAGAGAGATGCGATTGACGTACCGAGGGCGAGAGCCGTCAGGCAGAGGACCGACAGCCAGGCACGCATCGTGAATGACAGAGGATGAGGTGGCGGCGGTGCTGCTGACCACACTCGCTGCTCAACGAAACAGATGTGCTGTGAGTGACTGGAAGTGACGGGAAAAAACAGCAGAAGCGAGAAAAGAGTCAAAGAACAGCCGATTGAGCGCCGGATATGTCACCCTGTACATGTACGTTGTGCGATTTGTAAACGAAATGCGCCGTTTTGAGGATTAGGGCACGAATGTTTCACGGATTTCAAAAATTTTGAGTTTGACAGCGCCTGGCTTGAATCAGACAGCCCAAGCGGAGCAACGGGCATCGCATCTTCACCATGATGAATGGCGTGCGGCAGGAGCACGCGCGAGAGCTTCAACATGATCTTACACGAGGCAAGAGACGAAGATACACACAGAACAGACACCAACAGTACAGGCAGGCCTCCTTCACTGTCTGTTCTCGCCTGTCAGATGTCCACGGTTTGACCCAGCAGCTGACGTTGCCCATTGTGTCTGCAAGTCCCCTCCCCCTCCCCCCTCCCCTGCAGCCGCACCAGCACCAGGAGATGGTCAAGACCGAGCCGACAGACGCAGGCGGCGCTGCTGCCGTCGGCCAGGCCTCCAACCACTCGAGCGGTGACCAAGGTGACGAGTACTCCGATGAGGGCACCCCGCAGGAAGCCGCGATGCAGGTGGGCAGTGCTGGGCCGGGGCTATACGGACCGCCACACCCGATGGCCATGGCCATGGTGAGCGAGGGAGAGAGAGAGACGGTGGGCGACGAATGGAGAGATGCCCCGTGTGGCGGTGCGGTGTGGTGTGGTGTGGTGTGTGCAGCTACAGGTGGGTTTCAATGCTGCCGTGAGGCGTATCATGGAGCAGGCGTCGGCGGCTGGCGCTCTGTCCAAGAAGCGCAAGCGCAACACCAAGAAGAGGGAGCCGCAGGACCCAAGAAGCTCCCTCACCATCTCATCCAACGCGGTGAGCGACCCCTCGACAGACTGACGGTCAATCAACACCTGTCTGTCTGTCTGTCTGGATGTCTGGATGTGGCGTGTGCGTATGCCTGTGTGTGTGTAATACATATCAGCCCCGGCGCCCCCGCACAGCGTTTCACATCTTCTTCCACGGCAACCTGCGCAAGTGGAAGGAACAGCACCCCGAGATGGACCTCGTGAAGCTCTCACAGGTGGGTGGCTGGGTGGCTGGCTGGGTGCGTGGGCTGGGCGGCACACAACCAACACACGCATTCGCGCATGGATCCTCTCCATTTGACAGTGGTCTGTGATACACATATATCTATCTATGTGTGCAGGAGGCGTCGCGTCAGTGGCGTGACATGACGGACGAGCAGAAGCGGCCCTACCACGAGGCCAAGAAGGAAGAGGAGGCCACCTACCAGAAGGAACTCGCAGTCTTCGAAGAGGCCCAGCGACTGCACGCACAACAGGTTCGTAGGCAGACACGACACACAACACAACGGACACACACCAACACGCATAACCTCTGGTCCTGTGTTTGCGGCCGATCAGATGGGCTTCATATATCCGCCTGGCCTCCACTGTAAGGAGAGAGAGAGAGGGATAGAGAGAGGGAGCACATGTGTCGTCGCTGTACTGGTCAGCACACGTGTGTTTTCTCGTTGTGTGTGCAGTGGGAGGGGGCGGGAGGGGCGGGGGCGGGTACTTGGACATGCCTAACACCTTGTGGAAGTGTAAGCAGCGATGGATGGATGGATGGATGGACAGACAGACAGACAGACAGATGGACGCACAAACAAACGCGCTCATGGCCCTGTGTGTGGATGGCTGTGTGTGTATAGGTGATATGGGACCCCCGCCTGCCTGGACGCCTGAGCCCTACGTGCAGCGCTGGGGCCAGATGGAGCGCATTCTCCGTAAGCTCTTTTTACAACCACTATAGGACGACACACCTCGGGTGGATGATCTCTCCCCGATGCTGGTGTGTGTGGCGCTGTCTGTTTCCTGCAGAGGCCAAGGATGTCGAGACGGTGGACAAGGGCCGCAACACTGTCCAGCTTCACGAGCAGATGCGGGTGCGTGCAGAGGGCGGAGAGAGACGAGGCGATGACACTGCCTGCACACACACCAGCACACAAAAGCTTCGTGTCTTCCTCTCTCTTTGTGTTTGTTGTGTGCAGGTTTACCAGGTGCAGCTCACAGGTACGCTAAGAGAGACGGGCACCTTCCTACCATGTGTGTGTATGTGTTGTGTCTGTGTGTTGGTTCAGATCGCAAGACCAAGATGCTTGAGCGTCTGAGGGACTGCGAGGCGGCCCTGGACAAGTACTACTACCCCATCTTCCATCGCATTCTCACCGCCACAGACGAAAAGGAACTGCTGTACGCGACATACACATACACAGTGTACCCAACGCACACGGCCTTATTTATGTGTCGTGTGTGCGTGTGTGGTGGTGTGTGCGCGCTTGGGTGTGTGGGTGGGTGCAGTGCGTGGGCGGCAGTGTTCAATCCCCCCGACCCGGAGCATAAAAAGATGGCCATTGAGGTCCGTGGTTCACCGACAAAGCGACCAGCTGAAAGCACCAGAGCGTCGCATATGGTCTCTCTGGCGTTGGCTGTCACCTTCCACCCACAGATGCAGTTCGTGCCGTGCAACGAGGAGGAGGTGGTAAGCCACTCACCGACACACGCACGCGCGTGCCCACGGTGGATCGATTTGCCCTCTCTGTCTGCCTATGTCAGGCTCGTCGGTTGCTGCAGCGGCTCTTGTCAGTGGCGGGCAACCAGCAGACATTCGCATGACGCACGCAGGTCGTGACCAACTCGTGTGCAGACGTACGTGAGGTTGATTGATGAGTGGATGGATGGACGGGTGTGTATAGAGATGGGCGGGCGAGCGGTGCAGTGGATGGACACAGTGCATGTGGAGAGGACATCGTTGAGGCAAGATGTGTACAGCTAGACACACAATGAAGGAATGGATGAATGGATGGATGGATGAGTGCGTGAAGCGGTCACATACAAACAGTGTCTTCTCTGTCTGCGATTTGAGCGTCGACGGACGATGCTGTGCAGGGTGTGTGTGTGTGTTTGTCTGCACGGGCATACGACTGACTGGTCCATCCGACCGAGGTCTGCGTGTCTGGAATGGGTGGGCCAGGAGCGCTGCAAGAAAGGCATGCAGGCAGGCATGAACACACACACATCGACACACACAGAGAGAGAGAGAGAGGCACATGCGCAGTGCACGCCCCCTCCCTCCCTCCCTCTCTGCACACACAGCCCACCCCTGCGCACATCCGTGTGTGGCAAGGTGCCTGCCTGCCTGCTGCGCACTCCTGCACACCAACCGCATTCACGAAATTCGCAAACCCTACACATCACAATTAGGGTTTAGGGTGTGGGGTTTCCAGCCCTGCGAGCTCAGACGTGCTGGGGAAAGGCACGCGCATAGATCGCGGCAGATCTCCGCAGAGAGGGAGGCTCACAGGAAGGCCATACACGCAGTCAGGAGCAGCCAGAATATCAAACAAGCTGACATCTCTCTCTGTGTCCGTGTCTGTCTGTGTGTGCAGGTCGAGATGGCGTGCTGTGCCAAGACCCCGAGGCTCGTTTGGCTGTCAGAGGATTGCTCTCGATGAAGGCTTTGCGCTATGCTGCAGCTGGCGGCTGCTCACGGCGGGTGCGATCACAGACATACTCGTTTGTCTGGGGTGTTGTGATGTGACCCATGTGCAGCTCAGCAGCGAGCCGTGTGCAGGAGATTTCCGGCACCATCTTATTGACCGGGGCATCCAGCCTAACACGCACAGCCAGCCGTCGAGCGATGCTCTGTGAGGTCCGTCTGACTGACCCCGTCCCTCCCCTCTGTATGTGAGTGTCATCTCTGCAGGCCCGTAAGTCTTTCGCTCTGTGTGCGCTGCCCGGCCCATCCAACACACGCATCTGGTGCACCCTTGAGTGGGCTACACAGGTGCCAAGAGAGAGGAGCAGGTCAGCACAACCTGACGACGCTGCAAGACCGAACAAAAATGTCACCATTTTGCCATTTTTGACCGTAGGATGACCATTGATGGCCACCTGTAGGCCGACATACGACGGATAGACAAGAACCAAGACCACTCCTGGGTGCGCATACCTTCAAAATGACCTATTTGTTGTGCGCGACTTTTTTTCTCGGACGTACTTGGCCCAGTGGGTGGGCAATCAATCTACCCCCAGTTACACCCTCTCTCTCTCTCTCTCTCTTCCCTTATTCATAGCATCCCCCC